ATGCTCACGTGTTGTCTGTCTGAGGAGAAGAAGATCGCACAACGCGTCAGCCAGGAGATTGAAAAGGAATTGCGACGTTCCAAGCGAGAGTCCAAACGCGAACTCAAGCTTCTGCTTCTCGGTATGTTGATGGAAAAGAGAAAGAGAAAGGTTTTGTTTTGTCATTTTGCACTCCTTTTTTTTTCTTGGCATGTTTAAGTTTTGCAAACATTTTTCGTTTCTTTTTTCTTTTGTATTCCAGTTATTGTTTTTTTTTTTACTGGGATTCGACACGATTTTCACGCAGGAATTCCGTGTACAATACTGCATATGAACATTTCGTGAAATCCGTTTAAATTCTTTCAGTTTAAAAATAAGAAAACGATATTTAAAAGTGAATCCCATTATTTTTTCATTTTTTATTTGTATCTGTTTGTAAATTTCGTGTTTGCTCCAATTGCTGAAATATGTTAAGAGGATATTCGAAATACTGCATGCTTGAAAATTACCCTGTCCGAAATCTGACGGCCAAAATGTTTGGATGTTGAAAATTTAATTTATTGCTGACGTTTAATGTTTGATGACCAAATGACTCATTATCTCTAAATTCAGGGGTGGAGGGCAGAGGTTTTTATTTTTTCGATCAGAAAATTTTTGATTGTACAATTTTGTATTGAAATATTTTCTTTGTCTTGAAAATTAGCGTGAACTGAGATTGGCTAAAGTCTTAGATTGGCTAAAGATAGATTGGCTAGGATGTCTAAAGTCATTTTTACTTCGGTTAAAGGATTCTTAAGTACAGTAAATCATTTTAGATGTAGACTCTCTGCAATGATTTTCAATGTTTGCAATTTTTTTCGGTGTCTCAACCCACTTTACCCTAAATTTATTTTTAAAAGAGTGCATGGGTATTTTTCTTACAGTACTTTGAGCTGGCCTTTCGTGATTTTTGTCAGCTCTCGATGCTGAAAGAAATCCAAAAATCGGTATTCATTTGGGTGAAAACGGCACGAGAAATTGAAAAATGTACCTTTTTTTTCGTTCTAGACTTGGCGAGCACGTCAAATTTGATAAATATTTCTGAACATCGCAGATACGATTAAGATTGCGATGAGAATTTTTTTTTCGAAATATATTTTACATTTTCAAAAGATTAAGAGGTGTTTGATCGATAAACCCCGAAAAAATCTACAGAAACCGGTTATTTATGTAGTCTTTCGTGTTTTGTGAGAGTTGAATAATGAATGCTGTTTAATTATTCTCCAGGCACTGGAGAGTCTGGCAAGTCAACGTTCATCAAGCAAATGCGGATTATTCACGGAGACGGTTTTTCGAAGGAGGAGAAGCGGAAATTCTCACGGCTTGTTTACCGGAATCTCATTGCAGCTATGAAGTGTCTCATTGAAGCTGCGACATTTTGCAACATTCCGTATTCTGGTGCTAAAAGTGAAGTGAGTGCTTACGACGAAATAAGTTAAAATCCCTCGCCCTTTTCCTCCGTTTTCTCGGGTAAATTCTGAGGATAATTTATCAAATTATAATTTTATTTCAAAGTTTTTCCGCCCATCTGACGTGGAAATTGATGAGACTCGAAAAATGTTGTGCAGAACTAAATACTGTATTAATTTTTAAATGTTTCGATCGTTCCGAAAATTCACTCGTATGGTCATTGCAGTTATCATTTACGGAATTTTGCTTCATTCTATATTGCCGAATTCTTCATTTGTTCTACGTTCTTCGGCTTTTTTTTGTTGGCGAATACGGTAAACTTTCTCAAACTTTTTTTTTTTCAAGAGGATTTCGTGAAATTTCTCGCTGAAATTATATGTGTGCGAGAGCAACCATTTTTCCATGGGAAATTGAATGTCCGAATTGCGCTGTTTTTAAATTTTGAAAATTGGTTATAAGTGTATTAGGAGAATGTTTCTGCGAGAAAACCAGTAAATCGAAAATAAGGTGTAGAAATGTATTTTGTGTCACTTATCATGCCTTGTTTCAAATATTTGCAGGACTACGTGAGGTTGGTGAAATCTGTGGATTGCTCAAATTTGTTGGCGTTGGACGCCGAATTGGTTGAAGCCCTGAGGGCACTCTGGGCCGACGCTGGGATTCAGCAGTGTGTCAGTGATCGCCGTCGGGATTTTCATCTTCCGGATTCGGCTCATTAGTGGGTATTTCATGTACACCAAATTACTGCACTTTAACTCGTTTATAGGCATTTCAAGGCGGATTTTCTTTTGTTTTTGTTTTGAATGAGTCATTATCATTCGTCTGCAAACCTTTTTTGGTGATATTTGTACTGGATTTTATGTCAGTATATTCTTGATTTTCTTGTAGTTACCTTTCGGAAATGACGAGAATATCTGATGTGGATTACTTGCCGTCCGAGCAAGACATCCTGCGAGTGAGAGTGCCTACGACGGGAATCGTCGAATACGTCT